AAATTTCGAAGTTGTCTTATCAGTAGAAAAATGTTAAAGAAAAATAGCATCTTTTATGGAAAAACTAATTTGTCTCTCACTGCGTGGTATGGGGCTGAAGAAGAGAAAAAAATTTCTGTGACTCTGGCTCCCTGCAAGAATGTTGCATTTCTGCCTCTTTGGGGGGAAATCTTTCGTCTTGCATGGCTTTCATTTCTTATCATAATATTTATTTATTAAAGCCTTGGGTTTCCAATTCCATTTAATTCCAGGTCAGAATTGCATTAAAATAACAAAGTAAAATTCCAGGCCGTGGAGCTCTGACAGATCCCTCTAGGAATTAAAGAGAGAGAGGGAGGCCCTCCCGCCCCCATCCCTGACCCCAGGCTCATTGCTTGACCAGTCCCAAGGCTGTGCTGGCAGAAACCAGCCTGGTGGACTACAGTTCTCTGGGACAGCCACCCCTCCCCCTTGACCTCTTGCTGCACCCTTCCCTCATGGTGTCCTTACCCAGGAGGAGATTTATATGGACAAAAAGAAAATTCCTCATGGCAAGACTTTGCCCAGGAGGATATGACTCTGCCTATTATCCCCAGGGGCTCTTGAAGCCAAGCTGGGGTGTGAAGGTGGCTGGGCCAGAAGAGAAAGTTGAACTTGGGAGTTGGGGAAGCCTGAGTCTCTGGCAGTCAGGTCGCTGTGTCCCAGAGCCTGAGCACTTGACTTTTAAGCTGTTCTTTGTACTATATGGGCTCCCGCTCTGTTAAAAAGAAGGTGCTATATCAATGCCATCCTCTTCTCCCAAAACACCACCTCTTCCACTGCCCCCTTCTTCCTCTAACATTTCCTTTAACAGAACCAAAACACTAGAGACCCTCAGCTGTCAAATACCAGACCCCACCCCCACGCCCTTCAACCCCAGACTGCTTCTTCTCCAGTCCTGGTTCCAGACAGCCCACTACCACTGCCACCCCCAGCCTGGGAGCAGCCCTTCTCTCACTGTGGATTTGCTTGTGTCTTCATAAACAAAGCTGTCTTTTGTAGTGCGTGCTGACTTACTCATAACATGGAATTAGCTAGGGAGTTTAGTCTAAAGGAAGGAACAGATTTCATGCAGTAATCTAGAGACAAGATAAGGACCTCTTTCAAGTTGGAGCCAGTGTCTGTAGTGGCCCAGTGAGACTGGGGGGTTGGGGGTGAACAGAAAAACCAGTATATTCAAGGGGGTTCCCGGGGCAGATGGAGGCTCCTGGAAGGGACAGGTGCCATCAAGCCAAGGCTTTCAAGCCTGGGAGATCAGTTCATCATTCAGAGACAGAAGGACTGAGTCCCTCCAAGGTACTTTAGGGCTCCCTCTTTCATTGGACACCCTGCTGGGTACTGTGGGGGGAGGGGGGTGGCGCGGTGGAGTGGTGTGGGGAGGGGAATAAAGCCAGAGTGGAGGCCTCTGCCCTCAAGAAACTTACAGACTAATAGTTTTGTCCTCTGCTTATCTCGTATTCAGGCCACACTTGCTCTGACCGGGCTGCAATTAGTTTTGCACCTTCCTTCCTACTGATCCCTGAGTCTAGCTGGGCATAGAATCGAAGCCTATTATTTTAGCTACTTTTGACCCTGCTATTCAGGAGAAACTTATCAACCTGGTCTGCCAGAGATCGCCAAATAACAGCTTTACTGGGTGGGAGGGGTGTCTCTGGCCCCAAATCTATAGGCCAGTGCTCCAAGAAGGACAAGTACTGACCAGGCAGGGCAGCCTTACCCATAGGCAGAGTGCTGTGGACATCCCTTGCTCCCAAACAGATCTCCTAGGTATCACCAGTACCATAAGGTGTCTATTCAATGCCACATGCTTTTAAATGAAGCTCTAGCAGCTCTTTAAAACACAAATACCCTTGGCAAGTATCTTGCACAGTTACTATTCCTCTGGATTTCTGGATCTCTGTTCCTTTTCTCTCAAGAGTCCCCAGGGGGAGAACCAAAGTGTTGTGGAATGGGGAAGAGGGGACGGATAAGGAAGGGAGCCCTGAGTGTACAGGTGAATGAGTGTGTGTGTGTACGTGTGTAAGGTTCACCAGGATCACCCACATGTGACACAGCTAGGTGCCTGCGTCTATTGTGACTTAGTTGTTAAGCGTGAATACGGATTGTTTTAGTGCCTTTGAGAACTGTGTGGATGAGTGGGTGGGTAAGCTTGTGTGACGGAGAATGAGTGAGCATGAGGTTACATGGTTTTGAGTGTTTTTCAAGTGCCTGTCTGTGTATTTTAAAGTAGACAGACTGGATAACCAAGATAATTGTTAACTTAAAAGCATTAATTTGCTTTTTTTGGGGGGTGGGGGGTGGTGGTGCAGAGTGGTTAAAAAAGCCTAATCCTGGTGTAGTGCTCAGGTTACAGCTGAATGAAAGGTCTCCTGGCCTCCGGGGAAAACTTGTCCCCCAGGAGGGGCTCAGGGAGAGCCAGCCTGGCCGTTTAGTTTACCTGGTTGTTTTCTCTCCTCATTAGGGATAGAATCTTGATAAAGTCATATATTTAGAGTTTCCAAGTAACACCATCCCAGGGACCAAGAGCGTTCATCTGACGGCAAACAGTGTCTCTCTGTCTCCATGCGTCTCTCCAGGTCTCTGTTTGGGTGTATGTGTGTCTCTCTCTTTCTTTCCCCCACCCCTCTCTTCCTCTTTAATGTGGCAGTTTCCTCTCCTCCCCGCTTCCCTGGGCTCCTGTGGCCAGCTCTTACAGTGAGGGGACTGTTCCTCCTAGCCCCTCCCTCCAAAATATGAAATGAAAACCATAACCGTGTCAGCGGGTGAGGGTGGCCCCATGGGCAGCCGGGTATTGCCCGTGCCCCATCCAGGCCACACTGGGGAGAGAGTCAGTCCCCCTCACTCGTGGAGCCTGATCTTCAATCAATTCCCTCTAAGCCCCTTACCTCCGCCCCACCTTTTCCAGAGGGTAGAAAAGGGGGTGGACTGCTTAGAAATTCCTCAGGAATCCCTTTGACCTCTCTTCTCTCAGTGACATGTCCCCTGGGGGTGGGGGGAGAGCTGAGGAGGGAGAACTTTTCCATTTCTTACCCCTCATCTCCTTGCGTCTCCGCAGGGTGGAATAAGAGAGAGGGGTCTAGAAGACACGGGAAGCCAGAAATCCTACAGGCGGAGAAAGAACCCCTAAATGAGATTATTTTCCAAAATCTTCAGGAATCGGAGAGCATGAGAACTAGTTTGAGATGTCAGCAGCTGAGACCTGTTGTAAAAAGAGCGGGCCCTGGGTGTGAGTTTGGGAATGTGAGGTGTGCATTCACTGGGATGTGTGAGCGTGCATGTGTGTGATTCGGGGTGTGTATGTGTGTGTGTGCGTGTGTGCGTGCGTGTGCGCGCGTGCACTCCCGTAAGAGGAAAAAGGAAGCCGGGCACTGTGCGTTTTGTTTTCATTGGAGAAGTAAAGAAGTGGATTGGCTTGGTCCAGTGCCTTAAACCGGGGTGGAGGAAAGGAACGGATGGCTTTAGACCCTCTTGAGAAGATGGAGGTGGAAGAGCTCGCCGCCTGAACTCACTTCATTCCCTGCCCCCTGCTCTGATCCCCTAGTGTTAGGGTGTGGGCCTCTTTTGATGTCCTATACCCCTAGCACATAACCGCTTATAAGAAAGAGTCCCTGTCAGGGCTGGAAACTGTGGAGCTGCTCTGAGGCTGGCAGTGCCCGCAAGAGGCCCAGACCTGGGGACAGCTTCTTCAGGCTCAGTTATAAGACAGGAGTCTGGAAACAGAGGGACTGCTGGTCTTTGGGGGGAAAACACAGCTGACAATCCAGGGATGTTTGAGGGGTAGAGGAGCTAGTCACCTGGGCTAAGAGGGGACATGGACCCTCAATCTCGACCCTAATGGCCTCTCTGTCACCAGACTGCTCTCCTCTGCCCATGCTCACATATTGCGAGCGCCAAATGGCATGGGGTAGGGAGTATAACGCCAGTGGGTTTAGGTAAACGCAGAGCCTAAGGATTGGAACTTCTGAGGAAATAATTGAAATTCTCTTCCTCGCTTGTAAAATGGACGAGAGTTTCAGAAGTGTCCTTTTCAGCTGAGGTTCTGCACATCTCATCAAAAGCCTTCATGCTGAAGGTAGAAGACACCATAGCGAGCCTCAGTCTTGCCGCCGGCCTCCCCAGGCTTCTCGCCTGAATCTCAGGCCCTCTTCTCCCCAGGCCCTGCTCCACTGCTCCCTGTCCAAGTCTGTACCACTTGGCTCCTCTTCCTTTCTTCCCCCACCCGGTTCTGGGGCCCCACGTACCTGATAGTTCTTCCTCTGTCCTTAAGTGGGATATTGCCCCCTGGAAATAGCCTCTGCAGAACAAGTGCTTCTGTACGTGTGAATGTACGTACACCCAGCAGTGCGGGGAAATGGAGCTTAAGTGTTTGTGCTCTGGAAACGGAATACTATCTGGGTGAGGCCCCAGGGCCCCAGCCCTTGCTCCCACCACACTATATATTCTCAGCTCCAAGACTGGTTCCCTGCCTTCTGCTCCAACCTAGACATCTCCCCTTTTCAAACCGTTTTGTAGTTGCCACTGGATGCTTGGATTTGGCCCCATAGGCAGAATGATGACCTAAAAGGGCGCTGTGGCTCCCTTACCTACAGGTTCCGTGCGGCTGTAACTGTAGCCCTAGAGAACTCGGGGGAGGGTGGGCATGGATTTCAGAACCCCAGGCCAGCAGCCGTCGACATCTGGTCACTGATGGTGACAAGCTGGGGAAAGACCTGGGCAGAAGCTACTGAGGCGGAGGGAAGATCCAGAACAAGGAACCAGATTTAGGAATCCCTGGGTGAGGGTGGAGTATCAGGATATGTGGGCATTGGGGGTGGGGTGGGAAAAGAGGGGGGCGCTTAAAAGGTAGACCCTGGGGAGCAGGTTTACAGAGAGGACGTTTTTACAGGTTTCTAATTATATTTATTTGGAGTTTTCCTCTGGCGGTTTGAAGCTGTTAACAGCAGGAACCTGTATCCCTGGTGTTTGTTTTTGTTTCTAACCAGCTGCTTGGCCCAGCATAGTGAATCCAAGGGCAGGAGACACCTGCCCACTGCCGTGCTGCCCACCTCTTCCTCACTGCAACTCTGTCTGTGCCCACCATGGTGCACCTGTGTGCCAGTCAGCCCCGTGTGCCAGTCAGCCCTGCCTTCCTCCCTGCTGCCCCAGGCCCAGAGCCTCAGAGCATCTGCATGCCCACTGTTGATTTCCTACCAGGCAATTCCATGATTGTGTATTGGATGTTTGCTTCATGCTGAACTGAGTGCTGAGTTGTGGGGGAGGAGGCACAACAACAATTAAGGTATGGATTCTTCCCTCCAGTGTTTACGGAAGACAGTGTATAGTGAGTGAGCACTGGACTGGGAGCACACTGGTCCTGAGTCCGCACTAGCTGTTTGCTCTTTCCCGAGATTCCCTCTCCAGGCTTATTCCTCATCTATATATTGAGAGGCAGGACCATTCGAGAACCAAATGAAATAACCTATGTGGAAGAACTTTGCACACTTAATGGAATTATATATCATGTGACATCACTGCACACTTAATGGAATTACATATCATGTGACATCATCGTTCCTTATGTTGTTATTTTTTCCACCAGTTTAGATCGATAAGAATGATCATGATGAAACTGGAACCTGCCTCTGCCCACTGCCTGCCTCCTTGCTTCTCCCTCTCCGATGTTCTTTGCTTTCCTTCCCACCTCCACCACCCCTTGCCCTTACCTATCCTCTAAAGGCCTCTGACTCACGGTTGTTGGTTTAGTCCACACTGAAAAGGAGAAAATCCATGTCTATTTAATGGTACATTCAAGTGAGCAAAGAGCTGGATTAGGGGGAAGGTGGACCTTCAGAGGGAAACTCAGTCAGGGCTCCCTGATGGGTGACGAGGCTCTCAGGGCCAGCCCCACTCCCTTCCAGTCTCCAGCCACCAAATACTTTTCCTGGCTCTTCAGTCAAGCAGGCCAAACTCGTATAAGAGGGAAGGGTACTTTTTTAAAAAAGAAAGTGCTCTGTCTTCTCTCTTTGGGGTCATCTGTGTGGTTTCATGGACTCTCTCCAGGCCTCCTTCACCCCTGCCTAGGCTGTGTCCAGGCTGAGGATATGCCCAGGCTTTAGCTAAAGTAACAGAGTCCCAGTTCCAGGTAGGGAAGACACTTTGGAGCTGGGAAGCCTGGCTCTGCCAGCTTCCCTGGTTGCCCTTTTGATCAAGAGGTAGAGTAGATATGCATGTATGCAGGTACATGTACACATACTGCAGGTTAGAGTGTCATGGCCAAAGCCAGGGCTGGTTCTACTTTGGATGTTACTTAGATGTGGGAGGCAACATGGAGGAAAAGATCAGGGAACCGATCAGGACCAGCAATGGAACACTAGTCTCAAGGGGCCCCTGGTGTCCTGTCATCAGGTGTTAGCACTGAAGCTGGGGAACATCTATCTGACAAGGATGCTCGGAAGAAGTGCCTGAACAACCACGAGTAACATATGACGACCCTGAGATCCTGTGCATTCCATAGGATTCCCTAGGAATCTTATCCTAGATTTTTTGGTCCCAGTCTCTTCTGGACTCAGCATCACCAAATGGGTGCCTTTAAGCAGGTATCCTCCCTTCTCAGAGTTTCCTGTCTCCCTACCCTTAACTTAAGACTAAACTTCCTCTACCTAGAACAGTTGTGGGGTCACAGGAAAAAAGCAAGCTTTTTCTCTGTGGTAACCTAGAGCAGAGAGAATGCCACAAATACAGACCTCAACCATTCACTCACCAGCCCATCCATCCATCCAACGAATATATACTAAATGCCTTCAATATATTAGTCAGTCTTATTCACTGCTGAACGCCCATCACCTAGCACAGTGCTTGGCATGTTGTAAATGCTCAGTAACTGTTGAATGGTTGAATGAATATGCTTAACTCTATTCTACCTGCTGTGTAGGTTTCAAAGACTCAGAAGCCATGGCCGCAAGGAGCTTACAGTTTCAGTAGGAAGATAATACACATAAGCTAAAAGTTAAACAATGATACAAGGCAGCATATAAGAGGCATTACAAGATAGTAATTGGTCAGGCGATCAGAGAACCTGACAGTAAAAGCCTTAGGAGTTAAGAGAAAGAGTAGATCAGAGAAGGCTGGAACAGCCATTGGTAGCTTCCCAGCGGTGGCACCTGAATTGGGTCCTCAATGATGGGCAAGATTTTAAAACATGGAACGAGAAGAGAGTGAGGTAGGCACACCAAACATCCTGGACTAACCTGGCTGGGGCAAAGAGGGTGTCACAGACATGTGGGTGCATTAGGACAGCAGGCAGGCTGCTTTAGACCTCATTGGGCCCAGCAAATTTGCCCATAACTGCTCCCACCCCTGTAGGTGGTTAGGTAACTGCCTGTGGTAATGTAAAGGTGGAAGACTCTGCCTACGGTATCTGCTTATGTGCAATCTGCATTCCTGCTCATTTCCCTTTGTTGTTATTCCTGAGCCGGACCTGGGAAAAATTTTGAAATGATGAAGTGTTTCCTTAGGGATCCTCCTGCTTCTCTTTTGGGATACACTTTCCTATCCTCAGACGAGAATCTTAGGACTGCCTATGTTATCATAATCCACCCTCTCTGGTCGGCCCTCTAACTCATATTCCCCAGCCCATTCCACCTTACCTCCCTACATTTAGCAGAGTTTTTGGAGTGTTCTGCTAGGCACTGAAGCAAATCCAGAAGAAACGTAGGATGGCGTGGGGAAAAGCTGCTACAGTTACAGACCTGTGCATTCATGCCAGGAGAGGGCGAGGCAGGGAGGTCTTGGCTCATCTATAGTATCTCTGCAGCCACCACTCTCCCCCAAGTCAGCCTAGTGCCAGGGGCTAGGTAGGGGCACAAAAGAAGAGTCTTCACAGAGACTAGTGCCAGGGGCTAGGTAGGGGCACAAAAGAAGAGTCTTCACAGAGACTGTCAGATAGATTATGGAGTGCACTTTTTTGGTTCCTAACCCACTTCACCCTCCTCTTCGGGCAGTTCCCAGCAATGGGGTGGAGTAGGCAATGGAGCATGTATCTTTAGGGATGTTTCCCTGCAGATTTCCTGTACCATCATATGCTCCCCTGGTGCTGCATTTCCCCACACCAGCCCTTGAAATGGGGCTTCGATAAGAGGAAGCGGGAAAGAGAGGGATTCGGAAAGGATACTGGGTAGAAAGTTAGAACTAAAAATAGTGAACCTTTATTGAGTACTTACTAAATGCCTGCACTGCTGTGCTAAGTACTTGATAAGTCTTAACTCATTTGATGCTCATGGCAGTCCAGGACCAGGACCACACAGCCGTGGGTAGAGGTGGCATTTGAACTGACACTATATCACTCCAGAACCCCTTTTGTCAAACACTCTGGCATGTCGCTGCCCCAGTCTCTTCCCAGCTTGAGCAACGAGTCTATTCACATTACCTGAGTTGGGAAAAGGAAGACAGAACAGCAGCCCAGCCTCACCTTGGAAATCTTGATACAGCTGGCCGAGCAGAGTGCCAGGACAGTCGCACTTTTTAAATTGTCCCCAGGGAATCTCAGTGTGCAGCCAGTATTGAGAACTACTGGTCTAAAGCAATCCGTGCCCAACAGCATCAACTGATTGGTTAATGCCAGCTAGTAAACACCTGTACCCTGAGAGAATGTGCTAAGATGAGACTGTGCCCGTGGGTGTTGACAGGATCCCTGTACGGACAAATTGTGGGTGGGCAGATGTGGTGGGAGGGAGCTCTGAAAGAACGAACTGGCAAAAGGAGGAGATGCTGGATATAATTTGGGGCCCTATTTCAGAGCTCTGTTTTAGGCCTGTTCTGCTTTGAAAGATTCCTTCCAAATAGTTGAACGGTCCCTTCCTCAGTGAGGAAAGTGGAACGTACCACACAGGATGGCTTTAAAGCCTTAGCAGAGCAACTCGGCCATAACTATAAGTGAGCTGAGGCAAACTGAGTCCCCTAGGACCGGAGACTCATGAGGAATAGGGCTTACCACGAAGAGCTTTGGGGAAGACAGTTTTGAGCCAGATTTGGGAAGCTGGGCTCAGTGTGGCCGGGAAGAGAAAAGAGGACTGCATCTTAAATGTGAAGAATGAGAGGTGTGTGAATGTGTCGAAAGGGATAGAATGGTTAGTTGTCGTAGAGGGAATAGGGAGGAGATAAAGTCTTCCAGAGCAGAAAGACCCTGCTGGAGAGGGATAAGCATTGCGAGCAGAGAGATGAGGGAGACGGGTAAAATGGCATGAAAGCCCAGTTGCTGGAAGAATCTAAAGCCTCTGCCAGGAAGCTTGGGCTTGTTGCAGTTAGCCTCAGGGTCCACCCTAGTACAGGTGGGCACTGAATTAGAGGCAAAGGCCAGAGCTGGGGGGCCCAGAGAGCCGGATGCAGACCCTAGTCAAGCACCAGCCTCTGCAGACAGACGTCTACCTCTGAGAAGGCCTAGAGAAGAAGCTTCCAGATGAGTTTCCAGGTCACCTTGCTGGTTGCTGGGGAAGGGATGGAGGGACACAGAGGAAGAGAGCTCCAAGCAGGATGAACAGGATGATTATCAGTCAGTGGGATTGTCCAATGCCCCATGCCTTCCTCAAAGACTCCCAAGGGTTACCGCAGGAAAGGGGGTGATTATCCAGTCTTTCCTCTTCCAGGGACCCCACAAGAACATATAAAACTAAACCTCAAGCCATTTCAAGTTTGGAATTAGTTGTTAAAAAATATTTTTCCCCACTGTGGAGGACATGTTTAAATATGGGGACACAGAATAAGGACCAACTCCGGGTGCCCTGTCTTTCTTTACACATTTAACCACACTAGATATTTCCTCTTTCCTCTTTTGTCTAACATTTGTCCAACCTCCGAAACCCAACTTGAACCCCATTCCTCGGGAAGTTTTTTGCGTCCACCCAGGCCCAGACATATCCCTTTTTCAGAACTCCTAGAGCAGTGCTGTCCAATAGGACTTCCTGGGTGTTGGAAATGTTCCATATCTGTGCTGAACACTATGATAGCCATTAGCTACATAGGGCTGTTGAGAACTTGCCTGTGGCTACTGTAACTGAGGAACTGAATTTTAAATTAATTTAAATGTAAATAGCCACATGTGCCCAGTGTCCACCATCTTACACAGCACAATCCTCGAGCATCTATTGTTTGAACCAGTGATTTAATACTTACCACCTCAAGCTTCCATATATGGGAGACCTACTATTTACCAGACACTCTACTACTTTACACAAATTATCTCATCAATTGTTAACAGATTCTCATGAGGAGGTCTGATCATCTCCATTCTAAGGAGGAAGAAATAAGAGAATCAGAAAAACCTCCCTAGAAAGTGGTAGATCTAGACTTAAATCTGGGCCTGACTGGTTCAAGAGCCTTGCCTCTTTCTAAGATAGTACATTTCTTGGTACCATTTTCTCCTCATTGGTTGGACAAACTGATTCTCCACTCAGCCTCTTATTATCAGCAGAGGTCCTCTTGCCCTCTCTTCTGAACTAGTCTTCCATGTTCCTTCTCTATTCTCTCACTTTGGGATGACTTCCCAGTGTAGGCCAGCGGGCAGACATCATGACTTCAGGGCCTGAGTGAGGTGAAGAATAAGTGCGAATTATAGCAATTAGAATCCGGGGGCCACTGTGGACTGCTGCAGAGGAGTCCAAGAGAGTTGAAGTATAGAGTGCAGAGCCGAAAAGAACCCCAAAAGATCTGAGGCAGGGTGTTTGGGGGCAGTCTTCCAAATTTCACTTCTCAGCTCCAGGAAGCTTCCTCAATCCTACCCCACCAGAATACTTCTCGAAATATGAAAACTGAGGAGAGTTAACTTTTTCAAGCGAGGACTTATGGGTGTCTATAAATTGGAATGATTACTGGTCCACTCATCCATTCATTCAGTAAAAAATAGGCACCTTAAGGATTTGGATTCCATAGGTCAGTGATAAGGCCTAAGAATCTGCATTTTAACAAAGCCAGGCAATTCTAAAGTCCACAGATCACACTTCAAAGTTGGGTCTTGATTTTTTTACTTGCAGATTGCTACTTATACACTATCTTGGGTTTCCCAATTCACAGCTAGAAATAGTCTCTTTTCCTCTGATCGTCATTTTAACTGAGGTTCTCAAGCCCGGATACATACCAGATTCACCTGAGGAGCTTTAGAAAAATACTGATGGCCATGCCCCAGCCCAGACTAGTTGACCTGAATTTCTGGGGGTGGCTCTCTAACGTGCAGCCAGGGTTAAGCACCCACTCACCTCATCTCTAATGCTTCATGGCACTTAACCACATCCTGCTTCATGTTACTTATTTGTCTCTCCTTTTGGGTGGGCTCAGTCACCTCGGAGCATCCACAGCCTTCAGTATAGTACCTTACACAAACATCTTACAAAGCATTGGCAACTGAATGAAACGTTTTTCTTTATTTCAGTTCAGCTTTAGGGACACCATTAACATTACCTCAGAAATTAGAGTCTTTTGCCCAAAAGCAATAAATGATTCTCTTTACTATGACCTTTCTGAACCATCCTCTTTTTGCTGGATCTTGGGTGGCCTCATCCTTTAGCATAGCTTTGTGAGTGGCGCCTCCAGTCAGAGCGAGGGCCAAGAGACAGTGGAGCACCAGACATTGGATGAAAGAGCTCAGGGTGGCGGGATAGATGAGCCTGCCTTAGTCAGCGGGAGAGCCACAAGGGCTGCACTTATCAGACTTCAGATTGTTGGTGCTGGCCCCGCCAGTTCCTGGTCCCCGTGGTGTTGACGGCACAGGAGCCAAGGAAATCTTCCAGGATGGAGCTTCTTTCTTCTAAAGATTCTTGGCGCCATGGTGGGCAAGTGGAAGCAGGCCTGGTCTCAAGCAGACTTGTGAGGCAGATAATTTCTCAGATGCCCTGTCTCCCTTCCTCCTTTAATCACCAAAGGCTGCTGGACTCTGCCCCTTTCCCAGAGGCTACTGTCCCCATGCCTTTTCTCTTCCCTCTCCCTCTAAGCTTGCTCCTAAGAAAGGTAAACTAATCCACACTAGGTTGAATATTTCTAATCAAGTTAAGTTTGCTGTCCAGTCCAAGGGTTTTTATTTGTTTTTAAATCAGAGAGTATTTCAAATGATGGAATGTTCTCTGTCATTGTGGATTAAGTATTTTTGAGGGAAGTGAAGGTTCTTTCTGAATTCCTGAAATTACAGAGGCTAGCCACCTGAAATCACAGGGGTGTGGGAAAGCACCTGCTTCTGGAGGGGTCACTGTCTTTATTTTAGAGGAGAAGGGATTTTGCCCCTGGGGAACCACCTTCAAGACACTCTTCAGGAGGCACCAACAGAGGGTCTCATGTACTCTCTGTGCCCCTGGCAGATGTGGATGAGTGTGTGGAGGGAACCGACAACTGCCACATCGATGCTATCTGCCAGAACACCCAGCGGTCATACAAGTGCATCTGCAAGTCTGGCTACACAGGGGATGGTAAACACTGCAAAGGTGAGGCCGGGTGGGCACCTGGAGAAGGCAGACCTGCCTGAGAAGGGGAAACTGGTGCTGCGGCCTGCCGTTGGCCACACTGTGCATTACCTGAAGGCCTGCAATCCTCACTGGCATGGGGATGGAGGTTGGTGGGTAAGGGGGGTGGGGTGGAACTGTGTCTTTCCATAGAGGGAGCCATTTTCTAATTTGTACAAAGGCACCATATAGGCTGGCTGAAGCCCTGGTTGGAACAGTCCACAGCCAGACAAACTGGGCTGGGTGGGGGATCAGAATCATGAGACTGAGGCCTGAAGTTCCCTGACGTTGGAACCTCCATCTTTAGACCTCTATACCATGCCCGCGAAGGACGAGAACAGTTTATCCCAGGGAAAATTTATATTGTAAACGAACACACCTTCCTCTCATAATTAAAGCAATGCAAATTAAAGCAGTCTCGAGATGTTGTTTTAAATTTATGACCTTCAGTGTTGATAAGACTTCAGTGGACAGGGTACTTGTTAATT